TTTTGCTAAAATTTCAAAATCAAAAGTTATCAAAACAAATTCTATGGGACTGAGAATTATTATTTTCTGCTTTTTAGTCCATTTATAAAAGCGTTGTATATTAAAAAGTGTTTTTATATTATTTATTTCTATGGAAGAAACTTTGCACAGCCTCGTTTTTATAAAAAATAATTTCTTTAAGGAATGACATCTTTCAAAGGTTGAATTTTTTGTGTCGCGATGGACTTAGACCAATTTTTTTTTGGCAATTTGGCGATTCGAAAGTCCCTCTGAGGGCAAGATATCGATTTGTCCTTTTCGCGATCAGTTAAACCTTTCTGCTTTCCCATTTTATTAGATTTGAAAGTTTTCGACCAAACACAATGAATACTTAAAAAGCCGATCCCGTTTCACACCTTTATTGCGCAAATAATGTAGGCAAACTGGGCGCCTCTATTCAAGTGAACCAATAAATCAAGCACAATATTACAGCTGCTGAAGTTTTACTGGTGTGAAATACCGTTAGATGGAATAATATTTTGATGCGTGTTTATTTTCGAGCAAAGTACGGTCTTAAATTGAATTATCAGAAAACATTTCGTTACTAGATCAAATACAGTGGCTTTAATAAACAATTTCTTCGATAAAAATTATAGCCTCTAATCAAGTGAACTGAACTGTATGTACATATGTATGAATGTATGGTATTGGTATCTGACGTCTACGTTTACATAAATACATATGTGGAATTATATCTAACTGTAACAAATCTAGAGTACAATAAATATTTATTATTAGCAATAATGCAGCTTTTCTGCATTATTTTTAAAATTCAGTGATTTTAAATTTTGTTCCGCCAGCATAAACTCGTCGTAGAGTATTTGTACGAATCTTCATTACGAACGAATTCAATTAAGGCTCTCTACGAATTTCGAATTTACGTTCGTAGACACACGGATTCTGTGATAGCACTTTGGTAGATTTCACGAAAATCGAAGCTACGATGTATTCTGTGATAGCCCTGAATACATTTTTAAAACTCTGTTCCAACTTTTTCATATAATAAATAAGTTGCCGTCAGGCACTAATATGTATAAATATACACACTCATATGTTTATGCTTAGTGAAAATGTGTGAAGTTTTCGTTTATCCTATTTGTAAACAAAGTGAGTTCAACCCTAAAAGACCTTTATGGATTCGGCACCTTCTGGGCCCTCCAGACACAATAAAACCTTTGCTTTGCAAAGTTCTTATAAAAAAGCATAGTGCAGTAGTGCACTATGTACGCTACAGCGTAAATGGACGACAAGCCATTTCTTTAAATCAGCGTTGGGCAGAGAGAGCTTTTACTCTGTTCGCAAACAGAACAAAATTTATAGAAAGCTTAAAAGAGCTTTGCCCGCGGCCAAGGCAGTGCCTATCACTGTTTTAAATGAAATTAATTGGTGCTTGTATGTATGTACATACATATGCATATCGTCGTTTAAAGTGCAAAACCGCGTATCAACAAAATGCAAAAGCGCGTATCAGCAAAATGTAAACCACGTATGTGAAGTTGTAGAAATCATTTTCTAGAGCGTAAAAACACACATATTTCAAAATGGTTCTCTTTTTTATAAGACAATAGCATTTTTGGCTAGTATATTTCAGGACGAATGTATAAGGATTGAGCCAAGAGCTTGTGTGAGCAAATCCAATTTTTGGCAGCTAATATCAGTTACGCGGGTTTGCAGAATGACGATACGCGGTTTTGTACTTTAAACGACGATATGCATGTATGTGCATCAATCTATAAATAGTTGCGTTCCTTATCTCCCAGAAATAGTCAGAAAAAGTCCGAAGTAGTCAGATTTAGTCCTAAAAGCGTTCTTTAACTCGAAAATGACAGCAAAAATGAGAGAGCAAATGAAAAATTAAAAGCGTGGGGCGTATGCATGTATGTAATACTCTTATATTGGCAGTAACTGCACGTCTATACCTGCTATGCTATCGCTCGCATACGAAACATCGTAAGAGATATATCGCAGGTGTAGACCGTACATCGTAGAAAGTATACGATATAAAGTAAGAGATATCTCGTACCATGTATCGCATGCGACGAACTGTCAAATTCAGGGTTTGACAGCTACATCGTCAAATTTAGTTTGAACTCTAGGAATAGAGAAATAGTGGGATTCGTGGAAAAGCAAAACACCCGTATTCGGATACAACACAAAGCATTGGTAAATAATATTAATTTTCCTATATACAGCGTTTAAATTACATATATGTATGTGTAGTAAATATATTATAGAATACAGGAGCAACATCCGAAGTCTTCGAAGAAATTCTACTTGTAATAATGGAGTGGAATATGTCCGATACCATTAAATTGATAAACTTTTACAAGCAATTTGAGTGCCTTTGGAACTATAAAAGTGCACAATATAAGCGTATAGACCTAAAAAGAAACGCGTGGATTCAGATTTCCAACGAGTTTACAAGGAATATTGAGGAAGTGAAACGCAAAATTAAGCATGTGCGGAATGCGTATGTTGCAGAAAAAAGGACATTTGACAAAGGCAAGCAAGCAATCTTGTATGAGCCACATTTGTACTACTAGAACGAAATGAGCTTTTTAGACTCAGTAATAGTTTTGAGAAAACCCGAAAGCAGGTTGGTTAGTTGAGTTCAATTTACACCATACATTCTTCTTATTTGTATTCTTGGATTACCTTTTTTTACAGGATGTTGTAGAACCGAGGTGCGAACCAGTGAAGAATAATGATTTGGAAGCAACATTAGTTGATGAGGAATGCAAAGGGCAAGAGCAACAAATATCCGCTACAAACATTCCAGCAAACCTTGCGTCATCTCGATATCCGACTCAATCCCCAACTAATTCATTCGCATCATCTACCCCATCTACATTGTCGACACGTCGTCGTCGTCGGGCGACTGGAACGGAGTGCGACAGGAACGGAGTATTCAACAAAGCGATCCAAGATATAGTTTCATCTGCTGCAAGCACAGAGCCGGAAAATGAATTTACTTCATTTGGAAAGACAATTGCACTCCAACTGCTGCAATTGTCACTGTCTACAGCAACGGTGACTATGTCAAAAATACATTCAATGGTGTCAGAGACTTTGGTACAGTATTTGGAACCCTCCTATGTGCAAAGAAATTCAGACATATTGCAAGCTGCATTAGATGACGCAGATATATATATCAAGAATTAGATGTTTATATTAGGGCTTGCCGGTACCGCCTGCTCGGAAAAGCATCAATATAAAGCATCAGCCCCTTTTATTTCTAATCTAAAATTAATTGTAAGTTCCAATTCGGTATTTAACAGTGGTTGCGCGTATTCGACATTTTATTAGATATAATTTAGAAATAAAAGAGACGGATGCTTTGTATTGAGACAATACCGAATATGTTGGTAATCTTTGGAAGCAAATTGTATCACTTACCCTGTTCCAGTACCCGCCAGATTTATTGTTTATTTAAACATTTTTTAATTTTAACTATTTTTTAAGGGTCTGCGAAAAATCCCAAAAAATCAGATATACAAAAAGAAGCGTTAATAATTATTTCTTACTATTTTTTCCACAATTTTTGGCACGATTTGCGATAAATAGCATAAATTTAGAATTTAGTTAATTGTTTCATGCAATTGCCAATTTGTTAAAACAAATCACTATTAATTATCAAATTGAGCTACGGAGTTGCAACATTTTTCTTAATATTGCAACTTTTCTATCCGAATGTAACCAGTTACTGACGACTTAGATCACTTTCAACTGCAGAATCGTTTTGTATACAAAACAAAAAAGAACAGTTATTTCGTGGCGGAATATTTATCTATGTTATAAGTTGCTGCATCTCTCGCTTGTTGTTTGCGACCGGGCGGCTGATAGCAATAAATGTGCACAAATACGTCGTAAAGGTAGCCATCTCCATACAAATACAACAATATTTCCGTGTGGTGTTAAGTCTTAAAACTTTGGCAGTTTTCCAAGTTTTTTAAAAAATGGAAAATACTTATGATTTACGTGTAAAGTTGTATTTAGTTGATCACTGGGACAGGCAAATTATTACAAACAAATTGCCATCGACTTTGCAAGTGTTACGGGTGTTTTTTTACAATCATTATGTTGTAACTATTCGTGAAAGTGCTTTACTGACTGTGCGAGAAGTTAAATTATTTTGGACAAAAGCGCGCTTACCGACAAAAGATGATCAACATTATGTAAAAAAAAATTGAAGTTTAGTATCAAAATTGGGTGTCGATTAAAAAGAACAATAAGCGAGAAACAACAGCACAACGCAGTAAAGAAAATTAGTTCAACGAAATTTGTTCAAATTTATTTGACGTTGCTCACGCAGATATTTTATCGAACGATGATGTTTTGGAAGCAGACAAACAATTTTTAATCCTTCAGAGAGACGGACCAAAGGGTTATATAAATATGATTCGAATGCAGCCACAAACATCAGATGATGGTAAGTATAGTTATTACATGATAAAAAAATCTATATTGAAAATTCGTATGCTATTATAGCTTTAAATTCACCGGATTGCCAGAATTTGGATAACATAAGTACATCTCCCTCTATTAGTGCTAAAAGTACTACAGATGGCCAGGCGGAAT